CTAAACCAAAGTCGATGGTGTACAGTATGTTGCCTTGCTTGCCGACTCCCATGAGGAAGTTGTCTGGCTTGATATCGCGATGGAGAAAGCCTTTGGAATGRATGTACTCGATTCGAGAAATTGCCTGGTCCGCAATAAGGAGGACAGTCTTGAGCGAYAARCGCCGACCACAGTAGTTCAACAAGTCCTCCAGAGACGGGCCAAGAAGTGTTTGAACCAAAACGTAGTAATCACACTCATGGCCAAACCAAAGGACTTGAGGAATTCCGACTCCGCCGGCAAGGGCTCGATAAGTATTTGCTTCGTCCTCAAGCATGTAGGGTCCTCTTCGATCACGCATCAGCTTGATTGCAACGTCTTCTTTGGTATCAACATCGGTTCCTGGAAGGTCAGTCTCGCGCCATCAGCATGAAGTCACGAACCAAACGTACCCGCATACACAAGGCCGAAACCGCCCTTGCCGATCCTGTAATCGACGCGATATTTATCCCTAATCATGATCTATGAATCACTAACGTGAGCATACAACCCCTTTTTCTTTTTTTCAGCCATGCGATGAGCCATACCTTCATCTTGGTTCGAGAGCGTTGTAAAAAGAAGATAGCCTTCAACAATGAGACTGATGAGGGTGGGGTCGATGCAAATACACCAAATCACATGAAAGCGCGAAAGTTCTTGCTGGCCGTCGGCAGATTTTTGCGCTGGCGTGCTGTGCATTTGCGTGGCTCCTACCCAAGCGGCTGATGATTGGATAGCAGCGTCTGAGGGGAATGAGGGTAACCCATCGACCCACCTCAGGAACATGCGTTAACGGCCTGCCGGAGGAATAAAGTGCCGACCCGCATGGATAACTGAACATTCCTTTCCAATCAATCAAAMCCTTCTCCTACACCACCACCAACAACTGTCACACTGCTGCCTGCAGCGCCAGCTCAAACGCAAWYRACCAACACGACGCGGCGACCTTTACGGCGGTCCAAATATCCCTTATCTCCCATTCCCATTTGACATTCGACGATGGGTCACTCATGGCAAGACCACAGAACCGAAAGCGACAGCGTGACGACGAGTCTCCGCAAGCCGCCATCGATCCTCCAGCGAAGAAGGCTAAGACAAGAAGCGAAATCGAACGTGAAGCCTGGGCGTCTTGGGAATATCCCCCTGAGTTCTACGATAGACTCTCGAAGGTCAGCCTCAATCGTCGAGCTCTGAAGGAACTCGACAGACGTACCCGTGCTCGGCGCTCTCATCCATCTCCTTCAGTCAGTCCTAGCGGGAGCAGGCGGAGTACGGATAACCTGGTGATGCATCACAACACGATCGTCTAGGCAACCAAGTCATGAGGAATGGCACTCAGAGAGACAAAATCACTCGGCAACTGGGTGCTATATGTTTCGAGATGGAGGCTGCCAGCCTGATGGACATTCTCCCTTGCCTGCCGATCCGGAGGATTTGTGATTACTTCGATTCTCACAAGAATAAAGGATGGTAGAGGCATGCCGCCGCCACCGCAGCAGTATACACAAGGGAGCTACTAGGTGTGCACCTCGTTGCTGAGGTGCAAACAAAGAATGACACCGCGCCCAATACTCGTAAGTCAAGTCCCAATTTTTGGACGTGTTTTCCTTGTCATGGATCAAGGCCAGGAACTATAGATGCCGGGTACACCACAGAGATAGATGGTGAGAAGTTTCCCCCCTGCTCATCTCGTACAGTCACTACGCTTCTCCTGACTGAAAAAGGCCATGCCGAACCGGTTGAGTCACGCTTAATACACAGGGAAAAGGCAGGTTGGGTCTTGGGCTTGTACATAAAGAGGCAGAGCTTCTCCAGCGACTTAAAAGCAACCTAGAGCAAACAGCCGTCTACCAGACTACTGCATTCCAAACAGATTGAGCCGCTCGAAGTATGACGTAAGGTACCATTAGATCATCATAATACGTAACCAACGTCACTACGGATCTATGAAGTCTAAGATCGAGGCCAGACGAGAACAAAAGCGGTGGTGTCGCAAAGGCTAGTCCTTTTATCCTATTACGCATGGCAATGAGTCCGAAAATCCAATCCTCTCGTGTGACATCAGTAAATCGTGAGGACAGGATGACTTCTTCCGCTGAACACATGACTGCTTTAGGGCCGAAAGCTGTTTGCTTCGCAATCTTTACCTTGAAACTCATTGTTGTTTCGGCTCCTCTGGTTTACCGTCGTTCTTCTATGACGATGGTGCTAGTGCGTTGGAATGCTGGAGTGGAGTACATATCATGACTGAATAATAGAGTTTCAGATCTCCCTTGCTAAGCCAAAAACATGGGCATGAACGAAGCTTGAATTCAATCCTCATAGGAAAGCTTCTGAAATGGATGACTGAATGACAGGCAACATTCCATCGGCCTCCCTCCCTTTCCCTCCCCCCACCCGGCTACAAGCACTTCCGAAGGTTTAAATTCAACTGACGTGCTATTTGTCTACAAATCTGTTCATCCGACCAAGGGGAGGTTATTGGTGGTCTTTCAGAAAGTGGCTTAGTAGTGAGAAGCGAGAAGTGCGATCGCATGTGAGGAGGACGAGGGAAGAATCATTGATTACGGATGCGGCCTCCTTTTCTCGCGGTAACGATCCCTTAGGAATCAGGACATACGTGAGATGCTTTTCAACATCAGAAATTGATATTAAACGTCACTATAGTCAGGTTCAGCAAGCCTAGATACTTTTGAAACATATCTTGAGATCCATTACATAGTTTATTCGTGCTCCGTGAAATCTTATGATGGGCCAAAACTTCTCGAAGAGTTTTAGGTTCGGGTACTTAAGGTTCGGATGCTGGTGTATAGCCGGATATGGTTACGGTTTAGTTTATGCAACTCATCGACAAAAACGGATTCATCCGTGGCGCAAGAAAGATATAGAAAGACAGATATAATAATCTCGTGGGAGATAAAGCATGGACTTCGAATACACTTCCTCCAGCCCCGACTTACCTTATCACCACGTGTTAGAACTGTTCGTTGCTTGAATCACCAAAATGCGCATCGGCTGCTTACAATTTGCTCCGCAACTGGGCGATGTCGACAATAATTTGAACCGCGCTGATGCTGTCTTATCAAAAGGGAAGACAGAAGGACTAGATATTCTCATCTTGCCAGAGTTAGCATTCTCAGGTACGTCGTCTTCTTACCCAAGAATTGAGTTTGTTCTACGACAATCTAGACAACGAAACTGCATGGCCCTATGCTAGTGTCTAACTATGACATAGGGCACAACTTCAAGAGCCTAAACGACATTGAGCCATTCTTAGAATTTTCTGGGTCCGAAATCACCTCACTATGGGCCAGGACAGTCGCCCTCAAATATGACTGTACTGTTGTTGTTGGATACCCCGAAAAGGTCCACAATGCATCAGCGCTTGACACGTCAACTTCCCTACCACAAAATTATAACTCAGCCCTTGTAATCAACCGGGAAGGCGAGACTGTTGCAAACTACCGCAAAATATTTCTTGCTTCTATTGACGAGAGGTGGGCAAGAAGTGGACAGGACAACTTTCTCAACCGGCCTACTCCCAAACTAGGTATGGTTTTAATGGGTATCAGCTCAGACATGGAACTCATTCTACCCTCGGCATTGCAGCATGAGTTCGAATTTGCCACTTGTGTCTTGAGGGCTCAACCAAACTTATTGATTGTGTTACTGGCTGAGATGACCAAGGATGAGCCTCGACACTTCAGCCGTGAACCAAACAAACCTGATATGGAAACTTTGGAACACTGGGTCTTCCGCTTAGAGTCTGTCATCCGCTCAGAGAACCAATCTGAGGTAATTGTGGTTTTCTGTAATCGCACGGGTTATGAGGATGACGCCACCTATGCTGGTACTAGCGCTGTCCTTGGCATCCACGAGGGCGAGGTCAAGGTCTATGGGCTTCTTGGACGCAGCAATAAAGATTTGCTAGTGGTCGACACTGAAAAACCGGCTATTGGGAAGCTGGTGTATGATCCTCAAACCAACGAAGGAGGTTTGGGGTGGGCTGACCAACCTGCGGATGCTGGGAGTGATGCCGAAAGCTCGAAGAGTGGGTCTTTGAGACTTGCAATGCATTCTGCTGAGACGACCTCACGAAATTTAACGCCTTCTGGTCAGCAGGACGTTGGCAAAGAGAGCGAGTAGATTACGTTTCGAGCCCAACGCTGTCAAGAGTAAGGCTTGTGGAATTTTGGGGCCGTCAGCTTTGCCTGTATACAAATTTGAGGGTACATGGGTCCTTGTGGTTCTAGATCTCGTTTACTGAATAGCAATACAAGGAGTCTCAATGTCATATGTCGCCAGCACAGATCCAACCTCGGGAGCGGTTCACTTTACCTATCGTAAAACTCCGTAATATTTAGCACGCGAGCGAAAATGAAGATTGCTGTAACTAAGGAAGATATAACTACATACATAGGCGGAGACGGCCCGGCATAGTCAGAAATGTATAGCAAAATGCCTTTCTTCTACATATTGAAGGATCATCTCCTTGCGTTGTGCCATCATCCATTTTATGTACCGGAAGAAGTAGCGACCGTGATAAATTTACCTCTTGCGCTGCTAGCAAATTTCTATGAAAGTCGTTACTAGACAGCAAGTGGGATTACAAAACGCCATCGCAGTATTGGGAACAAGGTAAGTATATCACAAGGGATCAACTAGAATCTCATAAATTACCGAAATTTCCTCACCAAAGTCAAATTCTATGTGACTAATTAAAACTCCTGACCTCTCACTCGTTGGCCTTTTTCAATTCAATCAAGTATCGGCACCCGCTGTTAGCACTCTGCCAGGCCAAAAAAGTTTTTACAGGTCAAAGTGGCAGCAAAGACAGCCGTGGGGCTAGCGGGTTCTAACAGTTGCCAGAATAAAGGGACTTGGAGAGTTGACCTTTCTTTGTGACAAGTGTCTCCAATGACACTGAGCTTCGCGAGATCTTGACATCGCCTTCGGCAAGCCAATGCCGATTCTTGTTTTCTCGTTTCAGGATCCCTACATACCAGGTACAAGGAAGGTGGCACTGTGGTTTGGGGTCATAGTGTTATGCCAAAAGCTCAACAAATTTAGAAACCTTACATCTACTCACTGGGTCTCAATAGGGGAGTAGCGAAAGCTTACAAGTGACGGATTACGAAATAATTTATGCCAGGCTTACATTCGATAGCTCTTGAGTTGTGTAAGATCATATATTATCTTCGTATAATAAGCATTCCTCTTTAGTAGAAGATACTGTATCTCTTGTTGTACTGTACAATGCTATTTACAAATCTCGAGTCCAACTCCTGACAACTTTCTGTAACGTGGCATCAGAGACCCTACCGATAATTTGCACTGATCTATCTCCTATCACTATATTTCTCGCCCTCACTAAACCTCCGCCCTCCAAGATTATCATCTGTTGGCTGTTGTTTCCCACGCTGATGTTATCTATATCATATGTCTGCATTTGAAAGTTCTGCTTATCGACGTGATTAGTTAAGGCACAGCCCATATAACTCAGTGGGTTAGTTTGAATGGTAAGTCTTGAGTCTATATTGTTTGTAGGATTTTGTTCAGTTGAACTGCATGTGCTGTTTCGAGTTCCTTCTGCTTGCTGTTGGAGCAGAGTGATAGACTCTCTTAGTAGCCTCGCAGATTTTTCGAGTGTCAATAGAGCGGTATTCTGAAGATGGATGAAGTTTTTCAAAGTATCCACCGATGGTTGGCCAGAATCCTAGAAGTCCACCTGTTAGCTGACTGCTATCGAGTCCTTTATATACTCACGCGTATTTGCTGGCAATTAGATATGTCTCTTGACTGGACTATATTTGTGTGAATGTATAGCGAGCTTCTGGGTTCAATACTGATGTTTTGGTTTTTGTCAATCATCTTGATGATTTTGAGGGATGAAAGCGCTTGTAGTTGCCAAGAGCTGGAGAATGTGTGGACCTCCTCAATGAAGTAATGCGTACTTCGTATTTATAGGCCTTAAACTTCTAACATGAACCTCTGTCATACCAATCTATAGTCCGTTGGTACGATTGTATCGAGTCGAGACATCATCGATTACAACAATCGGTAACGTCAGCGATCTTACTCGTATGCTATAACAACAACTAGATTCAATCTCATCTTTTTGATTACTTTCCATGGGACCAGTTTATACCAAACTCTAATGCCACAATGAAACGAGACCATAAAGAGGCAGGTTTGATGAAGAATCAGTATTAATCTTACTCAAAATCTATGATGATGTGCTCGCGAGCTATTACTTATTCAAGAAAAGATTATAGGCTAAAGCAGCGACCCGGTGGCGCCTGAGTTTAAGCCATAATCTAACAGGTGACCGGTACCCTACGGGTTCTGCTAATGTGGTTGAGGAACTAGCTGAGTCCTAGACGCGGCGTAAAGACGCTTGGGGCTCAAACCCCACTTTCGACAGCACTGCTCCTCTACTGATTCTAATCCACTACGTACAGGAGGCGCACCCGACTCTGTTAGTGATTAGATTATGTGCCAGAATGACCACCCCATGGCTTTTCAGAGCGCGTACCTTGATCAGACTGCAAATTTCCATCTCTAGAATGCGTTTCTGAGAAGGAGAAAGAGACTTAGCCGTCTTGATTGTTTGCGCACATCACGCTAGGCGTGACAATATGGTCGAAAGAATAATGGTCGGAGATTGGAGGTACAGAAAAAACGATCAGAGATAGAAGTAGAAGCAAGATGATAGTTCATCCATACTTGTTGGCTTTGCATAATGTTAGTGTAATTGAAATGATGTGGCTGCTGGGCTAATGATTTTCTTCGCCGTAGCCCCGATGAATACTGTACTGGGCCCGAACTTAACGTGTAATGCTGGTAATCAAATTGAGCGGATAAAGAATAGTGGTATCATGCCCACCGCTTACAGAGTACGAAGCGTCATAGAGTCCGGAAGAAGGTCCTTTTTTGGACTCCATGATGGCTGTAGAGTTTGAGCTATACCATTTGCGTCACTTCCCTTTTCGCATGAGACGTATTTATCTTTCCAGCGAAGAATAAGGATGGGTATAGAATCTAGTGGCAACCCAAAACTTGCTGTCGAGAAAGCCCCTGTCTACTCTGCCCCTTGATTTGGATTGGCACATTCCATCATGTCTTTAAGTCAGCTTCCTCCTCGACCTGGCCCGCCACCTACATACCCCCTTCCCCCCTTACCAAAGCGAGACAAAATCTCTAAGAATTGCATGAGTAGCCGACGATGCCCTTTAAATCACTCTATCACACAGAATATTGGCGGAGAACTTTAGTGGCGGCGTTCAATCTAGCAACCGCGCACCCTCACGATTGCATTTTCTGGCTACGGCTAAACGATGGCTAGATGATTAGTCTTAGATAATCCATCTTGAGGAAGGCGACGTTCCAGATGTTCATGGAACTGTGACCACTGCATACCATTGGAATGATTGATGAGAGTTTCGTTCAATACAGTTCCTATATTGATTGAGCTGAGTTTGCAACAAGGCAAGCTTGGTGAAGGATGCAGATATGAATGGGTATCTGCCGAAGAGCATCGTGAAGCTGGAGGGGCTTGCGGAGATAGCTAGGATGGCCCGGATTTCGTAGGACCGTTATCTAGTGGAAGACTGAATTTACGGCGCGGCAAAGGCAAATTGGACGATCCACAATCTAGGCCTGTCTAGTATGACTGATGCGGAAATAGACTATGGTCTGGAGGGTGGTGGAACTACCTTATACGGCTCTTCTAGGTAGATAAAGGCCTCATTACGGCATTTATAAAAGATACCATGAATGACAGTCACGCTGTGCGCCCCTTCATGTATACCGTTTTTGTCTTTTTCTAACTCCCAGTCTCCCACTTTTTGACTTCATGCCTTTGAAGCAAAGTTACTGTAAGCCCTAGCCGTACTTTGGTCAGAGAGCGCATGACTTTAATGAACAATTTATTGCGTCCATCTTCACCAAGGATCAGCTTCTTCAACTACGGAGCTCACTCTTGGTGCTCGCGCAACTGATCGACTGCCCTTCCAGAAAGTTTTTCCCCACGATCACGCGAAATTGTGGTAAGTTCCCCCGAGGTTAGATTGGGACAGTTGTCGTTTTTATTAACTGATATCGCATAAATATTACAAGAATTAACTCTTGTGATCGATATCAAACTATATATAACTATAATATATTGTCTCTTATGACACTATGGCCCATACACCTCGAGTTCTTTTACTATGTCATCCCTGTCGAAGTCCTTAGCTATCATCGCTGGGGTTCTTCCACTCCTAGTTTGTGTCCGAGTGTCAGCGCCAGCTCTAAGAAGCACTTTAACAATCTCTATATGTCCATATTCAACAGCCCATGACAAAGCAGTCCTTCCACCTCTATCACGCCGTTCAATCAGAACGTTTTCGTCACTGATAAGAGCCTGAACTGTATCGGGCGAGTCAGTCTGGATAGCCCATGCTAGAGGCGTCCATCCATCGATATCTTCGGCATCGACTCCTGGGCAGCCTGCTTCGAGAAGCCTGACGAGAACCTGACAGTGGCCTCGTGCACTGGCCCATGATATCGCATTTCTGTTGTCGTTATCGATGCTCGTCTTGTCTATCTTTGGACTTGCGAGGAGTGTTTCAACTACATCCGTACAACCATTTCCTGCTGCCCATGAGAGAGGCGATCTCCCTTTATTGTCTTTGACATTAATATTAATGCGTGGAAATTTTAGTAGTCGTATGAGGGTGTCGGCCATGCCGTCTCCGGAAGCCCATGAAACAGCTGTACGTCCTGTCTTGTCCCGGTGGTTGATGTCAACACTGCGAAGCCTTGCTAGGGTGGAAAGGATTGAGTGATGACCTCCCCCTACGGCCCAGAAGAATGGGGTTGCTCCTGCATTATCCGGTTCGTCGGGATTGCAAGCTTTCTGGTTCAGTAATTCTTTGACGATGTCATCATGTCCACCTCCGCAGGCAAACGAGAGTGCAGTCCGTCCGTTTCTGCCTGGAGCATTCACATTGATTCGACTGTCTGCGAGCAGAGCTGTGACACAGGATCGATTGCCGTGCTCGGATGCCACTGTGAGTGCTGTCTGCCCCTCCAGCTGCCGCGTATCAGGTTCAGCACCTGACTGTAGAAGAGCAGTAACGATGCGGTCATGACCAAGTCGAGACGCCCAGTAAAGACTCTGATTTTTAATGACTTGAGAAGGCTCGCAATCAAGAAGCAGACTTTTTAGGACAGTATATGAGTCGAACTGTGATGCTAGGATGATTGGATTCTGGTCCATGAGGTCGTCATCTAGTGGTGTTGGAGCTTTTACATGATAGAAGCTTAGCCAGTTACGGCAATTTGCTGTGGCAGGATTCAGTAGTGATCTGGCAAAATCTTTGAGCTCTTCTGGTGCATCTTACTCGCATCTAGCGAAGTGTTCTGCCCAATGCAAGGATGCATATGTGTAAAAAGGATAGTCTGAGACCAATGAATCGCAGATTTCAGGATGCAGGATAGCGGGATCGTGAAACAACGTATTGGAGTCCAGGTCGTGATCTTCGTGGTCCCAAAAGTCGCCTTCAAAGTCGCCCAGAGGTAGCTCACCAAAGACGTCTGTTTCTTCTACAATGACCGAAGTAGGCGAGTCATTTGTTGGAAAGAAGTCGACTGTGAAATCATCAAGAAGAAGGTATTGGATGCATACAGTAGCCAGCTGTAGAGCGGAGCCTTGCGGATTGACCATACGTATCGCAGGAGGGCTGTCGATGCTAGCGATGTATTGATCTTGGAGATAGTCCTTCACGGACTGGTGGACCAAGGATACTTGTTGCCCTGTGACTCTTACTAAAGACCCTAGGATACCCTGAACAGTGTGAGCAATTGAGTTATGAGAGTTTTGCATGATCGACTCAGCCGTAGTGTACGAAGGGTCCATTGTGAATGCGATGTTGAGTTCATCCAGAGACAGGGGCCTGGAGCATGCTAAAAGTAGCTTCAGTAATTTTGACGCGTCCTCTTGATGATCCAAGGGTATGGCAGTCAGATAACGATGGTATATTTCGGCGAGGCCTTCAGGAATGCTGGTTATAATCTTCTGGAACTCTTTCCTCGAAGTAAGTAGACTCTTCTCGATCGATGCGAGAACCATGTGAATCCATAGAAAAGTCCGATCGGCTTTAGACATTATCGCTTCGCATAAAAAGTCCCTGATGTCGTTTGAGAATTGCCTGTTGAGAGAAATTTCATGGATTCGCTCTTGGATGAAAGTCTGAAGGTCTTCAGTGTAGCCAGTTTGGTCATCATCGATTGATATTTGAGATTGAAACACTTTTTGGCTGTTGGCATAGGATTGATGAAGAAATGGTCGGCTTGTGATAAGAAACTTGACCCTGCTACCACCCTTCATCGACTGAGAAGAGTCGGTCAGCATGTCAGATATCGAGACGAGCAATTGATGACATGATGTCTTCTGACACTCATCGAGCGCGTCTAGAATAACATAGAGGGGCCCGGATTTGGGATCCATTGTAATCCTAAGAAAAATACGCCAGAGCGAGGCGAAGGACTGAATGATGCTTGATCCTTGTTTTTCAAACGCTGAACGAATATATCTGACAAGCGAGCGATGACGATGAATTATCTGAAGGATAAGGCCAACGAGTACTGCCCTTGCATCCGTCTGCTTGTTCTTGTTCTGGCACAGATAGATGAGGACATTCCGAGACTTATTGCAGGCATCATCGAAATATTGGGCCAACGAGTAGGACAACATTGTCTTACCGCAGCCCGGATGACCTGTAAGCCACAGGAGAGCATTGGTACCTTTTTCGAGCCAAGAGACGAACAAACTGTGGCCGCGAATCCACTGACATGTGCCAGGGACTGGCTTTGGGGGCGGTTCAACATCTTTCGCGACATCGTTATCACTAAGAAGCAACATGCAGGTTCTTTCCAAGTCACTAAGGACTTGAGTACAATCAGCGATTGATCAATAAAACAAGTCGTGAGGTGGTTACCAATATTAGATGAGTGCGTGCTGGTGCGCTTGATTGTTGGGCCGACATTTGAGGACTTAGTGGCAATCCTTCGAAGAGCTCTCGCCACTTTCAAGTAGCTTTCTGTCTCGCCAGGAAAACGACAAATAGTTCTGTGATCTTCTGGCATGGGAATTACTTCTTCGTATGGAATGCCAAGCATAGCAGAAGCAGGGCTGACAACCTGTCCCTGACGTAAGCTTGCGTTGCCAAGGCATTGACAGACGATTATTGCGTGTAGTGCTACACAGACTTACCAAGGAGGAGGACAGCGGGCCCATTGGCAAAGGCAAAGTTTCATAGAACGAAACTACGTGAATATTGCCTAAACGGTTCCGTGCTGACATCGTCAGGTCTTGGAGCGTATCCGAGTCATATATTAAAGTTTTGAGCAGGTCAGTCCTCACTGTTTTCGGTCCTAATCCAGCAGACGCGAAGCTATTGACAATTGAACCGCAAATACTGGCTAGATTTGCTGCATTACTTCCTCTATGTGGAGTAGCCAAAAACACGACGCCTCGGACAGACTTCAGTACGTCCCCATAAAGGTCGTCGTTTTCGTGAGCAGCAACAAGCGCCTGAAATAGGTCAATCTCGTGTTCTTCTCTTGGTGGTTATACGCACCTGTTTGAAGACAATTCCACCAAGACTATGACACACAAATATGATAGATCGTTTGCTCTAAGAAGGGTGTCAGACTAGAGCTGAATGAGCGAATCAGGTAAATTACGGCATTTAAATTTTCCCGAATATCCCTTAAGGAAACCAGAAGGTTGAGTGCATACTCCTGAACCCTTTCGGACGATTGAGACCATATTTTGGAAGGATAGCCATATGTGTAGACCCGACATCCAGGTAAAAAATTGGGGAGGAGGTCCCGAAGCCATACGGTGCCATCAGGCTCGTGTCGCCATGTTGAGATTGCATTTCCATTAAGGCCATGAATCGCAACAATGTCTACTGGAAAACCCATGAGACCTGCCTCATCTGGCTTGCTGTCCGCTAATATGAATAGGCCATGTGTGGTAGTGCGGGATTTTGTTGGCTCCGTTACACTGCTTGAGGACTCGTCCAGGCGGGCGCATGAGTTCTCAAGTGTCGGCTTGGGTGGCGACTCCGACCGCCCAAGAATCCGGGCTTTGAAGCGTTGTACATGCTTCATGATGATTAAAAGGCTTTGATCTACCTCTTAGAAAATAAAACGATATACAAAAAATAACGACGTCGGCTGGACTCGTTTTTTAGCACTGCGGCTGTTGGTGGCGTGATCTCACAAAGCAAGCCTCCTGAAATATTCAGCAGAAAGTGGACGGGCCGCCCCGCAGTACAGCTTCCACTAAGTTGTAGATTAATCGGATGGTTAGTGTGTTTTCGGCAAAAAGTCAGTCCTCGAATAAATCCCATTGTTTGAGGGATGGTCACGTGCATGACTCAGCAAATAATTTTTCCTTTCTACCCCGCCCCATCGTCATTCATTCTGGGCATTCCAAACAATCTGATGTCTTATTGTAGGAAAGTCCACGTTAAATGAACATCATGGGCACAAAATCTCTCAGTGTTCTTGGCAACGATGGGGCTGGCAAGAAAGCCCTGATCGGCAGCCTCATTTACAAGGTGGGCGCAATTCTAAGTAATCGAGGTTCAAGTATATGCTAACTCGCTATAGTGCGGACTTGAGCTTCCCCAACTGAAGCAGCTGGAAAGTGAGGGGATTAGTCAGTATGAGAAAATTGTACCATTCTTCGAGAAAAATGGACGTGCTCAATCCTTTTACGCCCCTTCTGGAACCTTTACTGTTCAGAGTATGTCGCCAGCATCTTTCCCTATTCTATTGTATATTAACCACCTCGCTCTAGAAAGACAGACACCAGATGTTGCTTTCTGGGTTGTCGATGCTTCCGATTCATCTAGCTGGGGCCCATCTGCCGAGAAACTTTCAGTGACGTTGTCCAGTAGTATGGTCAACCCACGAGAGAAACTCGTCATAGTAGTAAACAAGATGTAAGTCCAGAAAGAAATATATTCTCCTCTTATTTCCATGACTGATGTATTATGTGTACAGGGACTCAGTCAACTGGTCTGAACAGACGTTCAAAGAGGTTGTGGGCGCATTCAGTTCGGTCGATCTGAACAATCGGTATGAGAAAACACCTCCTCATTAAAGTAACACTGAACTCATCATCTCATAGTGCTTATATTATCCCGGTTTCTGCCCTTCGAGAAGGAGGAAACATACTCCCAACCCCCGAAGCGCCCTCATGGGTACAGAACTTATCTACTGACCAGTTTGGGGGATCCGCATCAGTCTCGGGTGAATCGTTGATGAATCTTCTTGGGTGAACACTCACGTATTTTACTTCGATTTATTCCTTGGTTTACTGTAGTATATTATTAACAGAAGGGAGGGGCGGAATCCTTGTGGATCAATAGACAGTTTCGAAATGGGATGAGCCTCTCCGAAGTATTCAGCAAAGAGCTTAAACTCTCTCCTGTAAACACTTTTTTATTGGCACCCGCTGTTAGCGTTTTGCTAGGCCAAAAAGTTTTTACAGGCAAAAATGGCAGCAAAGACAGCTATGGGGCTAGCGGGGCCTTAACAGCTGCCAGAAGAAAGGGATTTGGAGAGTTGACCTTTCTTCGTGACAAGTGTCCCCAACGGCACTGAGCTTCGCGAGCTTTCGGCATCATGGGCTTTGTGCCCTACCCCCTGTTCGGTTTTCCCGTACGACCGACATCTGCAGCTCAATGCTGCCTAGACCGACCTTTGCAGCTTCGACTGCCGAACATCACCAGCAGCCGTCAGCAGCGCGACAGTCGTGTACTGCCCAGAGATCCCCTTTCTTTCTTTCGCAGCCTCGGCTGTCGCCCGAGACACAACCAGGCCTCGACGATTTGTCTCACTGGATGAGACCACCGAACATAACTTGCTGGGTCAAACGGTACAGAGCTTACTTGGAGATCGTAGAACGGGGCGACTGCCTCGTCTACAGAGCAGCGTTCTGGCCGCCTTAGGTTTTCTCCTGCGAGGGTTTCCCCCAAAAGATGCATAGCCCTGGGGTTGCAGCTAATGGCAATCTTGGGGGTCATGGTCCTCCTACCTTTGGGCATGAAAGGCTACTTGATCTATCTGTGTAAGATAATTCTAGGCTGGAGAGGGATGAGTTCCCGCTGACGGGATGCCCTCTTGAAAGCAATACGCCTTTGTGCCTATGATTCGCTGGATGAACTAGATGGAGGCGCTGCTGGAGGGAGGCTCTGCGAGGATTAGCTGTATTGATGACCTAGGACGTGCTTCACCGACAACTACTGTAGTGGCAGCTACGAGTAGAGAGGTGCTTCTTGGGGGAATGAGTAGAGAACAAGCTCGAGCATGTATACGGCTCCGACGCAAGAGGTCTTGCTGATAACCTGAGGGAGGATCAGTACGGCAGCGATTGTAGACAGTTTAGCCCAGCACGTCCTGTGCCCCAGTAGGGGACTTTGTGGGGCTCACGACCCCCTGGACGAAGAGTATACATAACATAACATATTAACAAGAGCTTAGTTAAATAGCGAACATATACTACAAGCCTAGTGATACGCTATGGAAAGAAAGAGTCCCACCAAATGGTCCAATAACAAATCGCCTCAGTACTTGGATCAACAGCAGAAAGATAGCTTCACTCTGCGATCAGGCACAACACAGTTCGAGATGCTGCTTGAACTTGAGAGCGTTACGCCCATCACAACCCCGCCTAGCTCATAACGCCCGAATGACCAAATGTCAATTTCTTTTTTGTCGTCAAGATGCTACGGTATATTGATCTTGTGCGTGCACGTCTGCTCCTTTCTCCAGCAATAGCCTCGCAACCCAATCGCGTCCCTCTCGTCGTGCATACCACAAGGGAACACGACCGAACTGACCTCGTCCGTTCACGTCTGCCCCCTTCTCAATTAGTCGCTCCACGATCGCCATGTTGCCTGCTGCCGATGCCAGGTGTAGCGCTGTATCGCCATCATCATTCTGCACGTCGACTTGTGCGCCTTGATCCAGCAGAAATTGTACGATCGTGTCAAACCCAAAGAGTGACGCTTCATGCAATGCTGTAATGCCCATGTCGCCTCTCGCGTCAATATCTGCACCTTTCTCACAGAGAAGTTTTACGAGTTCGTAGTCGCCCCTATATGATGCATGTTGTAGAAGAGTCGTGCCATCCTCGTCTTTCGCATTGGCGTCTCCATGGCTATCAATGAGGATCCGAGTGAATAGAAGCTCAACTCTTTCAAGGACTACACTATCGTTCGACGCGTTTGACGATGAGTCGTCATGTGGTGTATTCCGTGCGGCCATGAGTAGGAACGAGGTCGACCGAAAATTCACGCTAGATAGAGTATGATTGTTTAATCTGAAATGGTCTTCACCGAATTCAATTTTGGAGAGCCAACTGCCTACATGCCCTTATGCGGAGACAAATGTCATACAAATGGCCGAAACACCTCGTGACTGTGTTTGTGGGGCCGCTTAGGTAATGTCAATTGGCAAAGAGGAGTTTGGAAGACTGGCTTCGTAGCGCGGTATTGTAACACGCGAACATGCACTCCGGAACGTATTGTGACATGGGCAGGAATACGAGAAACAAAGTTCTCCGTAAGCAGATCATTGTGGGTCATGAGTGATTGATACAACCATGCAATCTCACAGTGCCACATTAGTTTACTCCTCCATTATTACAAGGATTCGTTTCACTACCCTTGTCATGCCTCGTGATCAACCCCTCGTCTCTTGCACCAGGATCCATACAATCCTCACCCCGTGTTGGTTTTGGTACCCTTGTCGAAAGAGGCCTGCAGATTTGAGTTTCATGAAACCTCTTGCTGGGAGCAGCCTGATTCAAGCAATCCTGACTTCAGACCACTATATTAACTACCAAGCCGTAATTCACAAATGCTAACTACTCCAACAATTCTTGCCGATTTCCACATTTTATTTATTCCCAAGATGAGAATTGACAATAATCTTCTTGTTCTATTCAATTTCACATTTCGATGTCTTATTCTGTTGATCGGAGTAGCATGCTTTCTTGGTATCCCTGGCGGTACCTGGTATTTTACTGCAATCGTCTACAATGAGCTTTCCTCTTTGAACGGCAATCCACTCCATCCAAACCACATTCAGGAGACCAGCATTTACCTGACATCTCTGTCAATTTTTCTTCCGATGAATATCTGGGGTGCAATTCCATATTGCCGCCTTAACTTTCTTTTGCCATCCATGATTCGTCGTGGTACTGACTTTATGCTCTTTTCACTTGAAATCATCACAACTATCCTTTGCATCCGAGTCATCTCCATTATGTTAATCTGGTGGCCTCTCCTGAAATCAGCTGGTTTTTGGCATGAGGCTAGTCAGTGTAAAGGGCTTGCGATATTTATGGTCTTCATCGTTTTCTTAGCACTCATTCTCAATTCTGTGCTCTTATCGCTGTTCTTATTTGATCGCCCTAGGATCGTACGGCGGATTGCAAGTGAAGGCCGCGAGCAAGTCAAAAACTTTTTGGAGCGTTTGAGGAAAAGACGAATGACGGACGTTGGTGATGATGATGTTGATGAGAAGACGACGACAGTCTGAGTTAGGAAGGGAACACTCACTTAAGTGTATTCGAGGTTAGCTTTCATAGGACTTATTCAAAGGCTGTAGAAATCCTTTCCGTTCATTATTTTAATCAATTTCATGAGTCAACTGGGTTCCGGAGTCGTTTGAGTTATTCCTAGGGTAGGGAACTTTGCCACATCGTATGTTGGCTCAAGACTTGTCACATGCGTAGGCAGTGCGACCGAGCCAACATTTGGATCGCAAGGGAAATCAATGGAAACCTCCGGAGTTGCTTAAAAGCTAGGGTTTCCCAACTTACACCCCTGATGTATGTAAGTGATATATCCGCTGTAGCTTGCTTTTTGGTAGCCAAAAGGCAAGTCATTACTTTTCGATACTAGTGACCATCAAGCCAGGTTCCCGGGGGTTAAGCCTTATACCAGTCTTTTCATGACTTGACGTATTTCTGGTAGATAGCTCGTGGACTGCCATACATTGAATGTGTAGTTGGGTTTGGAGTTGGGTCTCCTGAGGTTAACTGCGAAGACACCGACGATCTGCACATAGATGGTGCAGGCAATCGCTGGTGGCCTTGGCTCGTCCGGGACAGCAAAGGTTATCCATTGAAAATCTTCCAAACACGTCTGCGGATGGTCTAAAGATACGGCTGGCAGTGCTCTTTGTTCTGAGTATTGTAGCTTTGCGGCCGAGTCTAGGGTCTCTTGAGTGCTGCTTTCGACACCCCGGAACAGCAATCTGGGCAGGCATCCGTCCCCGCATAGACGAGAGAGTCTTATTACGGTACTTTACCATAAGCTCAGCGATACCCTCTTGTTTTTGCTTCACACTTTTGCCTATCTTCGTTCGTAGCATACCAGCAGAACCATCATACAGTACAATTTACTCTGTCATACATGCATATTGAAGGAAGGGACTGAAACACACAGACCAGCTGTGAGATCTGCCTATCAACTACACGTGCCGCAAACGCCTTTGCTTCACACGYCGCCTCCGTCTCAATTCGTTTGCCTCCAACGCGCTCTTTGTACTGAGCGCATCTACCCGRACTTCCAACTCATCATATGTAGTCTTGAGTCCTCTGATCTGTGTTTGATAATAGCGATTATCTTTCATCGCCTCACTCCGTTCCTCCTCGAGTTTCGCAATGAGAGTGTTCTGCCGCGCAATCTCTTCATTA